TTTCAAAGAAAATTTTGGCGAGGTTCAAAAAATGCAAAATATTTTGTCCCTAATATTTCAGGAACTGTGATTGGGATAATGGTTCTGACACCAGAAAACCATTCTATGACATCTTACCTTTACAGAGGTACCAAAAGTTTCTTCTTAAATCTAATAGCTTTGAGGCTATAAGTGATTTACTTTTGTGTGTTTTTGTCAGGCAGAAATTTATTTATACCCCCTGAGGGTGTAAGAGGTTAAAGCTTACATGTGCCACATTTAAGCTAATACGTCTCTAATCTGGATATCATTGCAAAACGAGGACTCATCTAAGGGATTATATTTAACCATTTTCAGATCTGTTGTAGACTATTCACCAAGGTCAGATGAGAGTTAGGTAGATCTAGTTCGCCTTTATCTGAAGTCTTTCGTAGCATTTGTTGGCTAATGCGAGGGGGTTTATCTCCCCAAGGAAAACAGTTTTACCAGTAGATGAAACAGTCCAGAGATCTAACAAATTAGATGACGGTTTATTGAGATTCTGAGAATAAGCTATTTTTTGGGCTATAATATCAATTTCTTATTAAATGAACCCGTCCCTTAAGTGACAGGGGTAGAGATATCCGTCTGACGAGGTTATCTATCCAAAAACATCTACACTAAATATGGAATTCTCTCTGACTGCAGGTGCATGGCAATAACAGCGAAATGGAGAAATTACAGATTTTGTCAAATGTATAGAATGATGTGAAACTCTTGGAAAAGATTTTAACATTCTAATTATCTGAGTAAGTTTAGTATGTTGCGAAAACAATGTTGCGATATGTATATTCTTTTAACCAGATTATTAATAAGCTTCCAAAATAAAATTTGGGCAAAGATGTTAGGAGGAATTTCCAGTTAATTCTGTTAAAGGCCTTTTCCTTATCTAAAGACAATATAGTGGTTTTACATTTTTCAATGTAGGAATACTTTATTAAATCAGACAATTTACTGCATTTGACTGCTTCCTGTTTACTAAATCACTTTAACTAGAATGTATTAAAAGAAGACGTAACTTGGCTGATCATTTTTAAGGACTTTAAAGATTATTGTAAGATCATCATCATTAAGTATAATAGCTAGTAGAAAAAACAGGGTCTGTGTGATTTAGCAGGAGACTATTGCTTGCAGTATTGATAGTGGATGTCTGACTTTTCCCTGGGTTTCCTATAGCCTTCTGTGGAATGATGGAGCCAGAATACTTTGGAAAATCTTCTTTAACTCTGCTGGAGTTAGAAAAAAAAGCTACATAGATTTAATTTAAGTCAATATGGAACCTATGTAGTTCTTCACACCAGCCTTAAAAGAGGTTGGTGGGGCTGCTGACTACAGTCATTGGACGAAGATTGTATAAGAATAAAAAAAAATAAACACAGGCTTAGAGAAAATATGCTTACATAAGAGAAAAGGAGGGTAAAATAATCTAAAAGTGTGATTAGGATGATTTCAATACAGTTAGCAGACAACAAAGGATTAACCTTTGACAAACATTTCTGAAGAATTGGGTAAAGATTTTGTTATTCAACCTAAAGCCAAGTGGTTTCAGCCATTGTCAAATTCTCTAACCATCAACTTCTAATGTAAACCGAGAATCCGGGGTTGTTAAGTTACCTTCAGACACGCAGCAAGAACTGCCAGCACTGGGCAGCGCTGGACCATTGCTTCGTGTAGGAGAAACCTGACTGGTATTTGCTCCTGCTGACTCCGCAGTACCATCTGGAAAAGGTCTGAGCTCCCAGCCGCCTCTTCGCTTCTCGGAACCCACAACTGTTCCTGCGGCTCTTGGTCCCTCGTCTGACTCTGCACCTGCAGGTCTTGAAATGCCACGGTAAGGTGAGCCTGCAAAATGGGTTCAAAGAGACGGAGCATGGACCTGACCTGGAAGGGAAAAATACAACCTTAGAGAGTTTATCATGGACAGAAGATTACCTCACGAACCTCACAGAACACTCCCCCACCACCCACACCTGCACTCTCTGAGACACATTCCTTTGTTTTATTTTTTCTTTCTGTACAGATTTAAAGGATTAGATATTAATATAGACAATAAATAAATATAAATGGAAGTCAATTTAATGTCCTAAAAGGATGGATAATTTTGTATGTGGACTTCTTTTACCTACATTGTGGGAACAGTTTTAGGGCCAATTTTTGTTAAATAGGCTACTTTGTGGGGACTTCTTAACTAACCTTGGTTTATGTAAGGGAAAGATATATATAGGTAATGCTGGTTCAGTAGAAATGAGTGGAATTCAATGGAAAGTCCCTATAAAACATGAAAACACAACATGTTACCTGCTGTAGAGGGAAGTTGTAGAGTTGGACAAACAATAAAAAGTGTATAAATTGTCGGTCCTCTGCACAATGCCTGGGATAAACTGGACTAAGCTCCAGACTGTGGAGCTTAGAGAACTGAACAGGCAGCGCCCACTCCTGAGCAGCCTCATATGACGACCTGAAGGAAACAGAAACATGTACACTTAATGCTTTTTGAACTTAAAAGCATCAGAATCGCTCATCTTTTCCTGGAGATGTTCCACTGGATCTAAACAAACTGTTTATTGCCTGGTTAAAATCAACCTCTGACCAGAAACCGCTGAGCAGAAAAATGGCCATGAAGGATCAGAGCGGTCATTACCTGCCCCCTTCATGATGCAGCCACCTTGAATGAGGCGTGCCTGGCCATGCCCTCTTTCCCCAATCAGTGAGTGGTGATGTGAGGCAGAGCGCCTTCATCACTGCTCATTGCTTAAACCAAGTTTTAGAAGCTGATCAGCGCAGTGACAGCTGCTGGTCTTTATTAATATTTCAGTTATTATTTCATAGTAACAAAGGCCATATTTCATCAAACATGCTCATTGTTTTCTTTACATAAGCAGGATGCATTACCTTGAATTAGAAAAAGTATTATAAAAAGTGACATATGATTCGTTCCTGTTTTTTTAAAGGTATAGCAGAGCATTTTCACTAATTTCTGAAAAGACCTGCCATCTCCACTTAAAAAAAAAAAAATGCACATGCACAACCCTGTAACTGCTCCCGAGAGGGAACGCCCATTAAACGAGTGCTAGAGCGGGGGTCGGCAACCAAAACTGCTCAAAGAGCCATACTGGACCAAAAAAGACAAAAAATAAAAATGTCTGGAGCCGCAAAAATGTTAAAGTCTTATATATGCCTCGTATGGAAACACTAGGTGTATTATTACACTATAGAAAAGGACTATGTGGGCTTAAATATATAATTAGCATTCATGATTAAATTTTCATCCTGGAGCAAATGTCACATAGCAGCATGAGGTGATGGAGGATCAGTGAACGTCCCCATCGCTTCACCACCCTTCATCACGCGGTTTAAGTTTAGTTGCAGTAATGAAATTATAAAAACACAATAAAGGAATATTTCTATATTGGACGTGTTTCTGTTGAGAGGAGTTGATTGAGTCATGAGGAACCAAGCAGGAACTGACATCCATCAGAGCATAGCTCTCTAACCCTGAAATCAGCATTCCTTGGTACATTTATATTTTTAGGATTTGGGGAAAAAAATGGAAGAGAGTTTCACATACCCGCATCAGAGCGCTGCCTGTTTGATCTGGTTTTCTATGCTTGCAACAAAACTAGCGGCAGTAGTGGAGTTTGGAGATGCAATCCACTTCTTAAACCTATTTTTGCGCTCCTCTAATTTATCCAGAAGTTCTGCACTCACACTTTTTCTCTCACTCCCAACTTGATGGTCAGCTGCATTATTTAGGCTTCCCTTGAAATGCCTTTCCAAATTTTTATTTTTATTTTTTGACAACCTCTCATTACAAAGCAAAAATGCAGGCAATTGCCTGCATTGATAATGAAAGCAAATTATTCAGTCCATTCTTTGAATCCTCTTTTCTCATCGGCTATCTTCCTTTTTTCCTTTAGAATCGATGGTCCGAGACACACCTGCAGCTTTGTTTGCCTGGCACCACGCCACTCTGGTTGCAAGTTATGACCTCTGATCTCTATGGCTACGACGCAAATTATTGTTTAAATTTATTTATTATACAAATTTTTACAGCAGTGGAAAACATAATTTATTTTTGTTTGACCTCCTGCACACCATAAAAAATAAAAAAATAAAAAAAGCAATTTCATAAATTTTTGAAAAAGCTCCAGGGAGCTGCAAGGAGGATGCCAAAGAGCCGCATGCGGCATACAACTTTGGAGCCGCGGTTTGCCAACCCTGGTGTGGGGACGAGCACATAGGACGGCCTTACATGAACATATCACCAGAATGATTGACAATTAGGAGAACCACTAATTTAGATGATCCACCCGGAAAAAAGAACATCCTCTACCTTTAAGGATGATCTGCTAACAGCCTAAAGTAATTAGATCAGATTAGATCCAACAACATATAAAACATAAAAACCTCTGACTTTTTATAGGATCAGTTGTTTAGATCTTGTTTTGGCTTAAAGTTGAACAGGTATACGCTTAGCCCATGATCTGTGTATAAAGAGCTGAGTGTAGGACAGTTAGTGGCTGACCTGCTGATACCCCTCTGCTCCAGACTTTCCATCACTGCTGCTTCCAGGTAACCAAGCATCTCTTCTGCCACTCCTGGCTCTGCATCCACCAGCTTTACAGCTTTAGACTCTGAAACAGTTTAGTACAGCAGTTTAACATTTTCATCGGAAAAAGATACTCAGTTGCTTTTTGTGTCATATTTTTTACTTAGAATGAGCAGATTCTTGGCTTGTGTGTGTTTTTCCAGTTGGTTCCAGTGCTGAAGGACGGTGTTCATGGCTCTGATGTCCACCCTCAGCTTTAGGCTGCAGATGCCCAGCAGCTCACAGAAACAGACGGCTGACGATGTCACAGACGGCACATTGAAACACTTCAGAGCCAGCCTGTACACCTGCAGCCAGACCTTCTGCAGCCTGCGAAATAAAACCACAATAACAAACAAGACTTTCTCTGTTTTCCCTGACCTAACTAGGAGCTGCCGAGAGAATAAAGGAGACAGGACGTGAACTCACATTGACTGGACGTCACTGCAGACACCTAGCTGCTGGATGACAACGTTCCCATATGCGAAAGAGGGACGGCCATGATGAATGTAGTACAGATAGTCTAGTTTTTCTACCAGAGCAAACCTGCCAACCAGTTGAGAGCTGGAAAAATGAGGCAGCTCTGATGTTTCTGTAGAGAATACATAAATGATGAGTCTCACTCTGAATTCAAGGGAAGCTGTGACTGTTGTTATGTTCTTGTTTGGAGAACTGGAGAGAAAATCTCATTTAAGACCTCAGTAATCAGAAACTTTACGTTTATTGCGAGTATGAGAAGTTTTTAGGTCATTCAGATAGACAAAAACTGTCCTAAAAAAATAATACAAACAAAGATACACTCAATCATGTTTCTCTATCCTTGTGGGGACTTTCCATTCATTTCTAAATCATTTCTGCTGTCTAACCCTGACCCTTACCCCATAAACAAAACCCCAACCAAAACTCAATTCACACCTCAATCCTAAACCTAAGTAACAGCATTTGTACCCATGGGAATCATGCCATGGTCACCATAAGTGCAGGGGGTCCCCAAGATGTGCTAAGATTTATGGAAAAAGTTTCCCATAATGTAAGAAATACCCGCCCAGGCTTACCAGTAGAATTCAGAGTGTTTGGCGCCTGCCAAGCAAACAGTCTGGATACGTCAAGAGGATGGAGAGACTGGAAAAGAACAGGATAAATACAATAAGAAGACCTCTACCTCCATTAATGCAGCTGACCAGACATGGCATTTATTCGACAGTTGAAGAAAAAAAAGTTTCTTTTTTTTTTAGACCCCCAGAGTGTTTACCTGAAGGAGTTGATAAATGGAGACGTCAGATGATGGGCCATTCCCAAAACATCCAGAGGGAAAGAGTGCAGCTCTCAGTTTGCTGTGGGAGGCCAGCGCCATCTTCAGCAGCTGTGGGTCGACAGTCCTCTGCACACTTCCTGCCTGCTGACCTTGAATCATCACCTGTTCCAAACAGCGTAAAGAACAGTGAAAAGAGTCCTGGTATAAAAACCACGACCCTCAAACAGACTTCTACTGTTCAGCTGAAGATGCCCAGTTCTATACTTTATCCTAACTATCAACCTCCATCTCAGACAGCGTCTCCTTCAGGCTAACCTCGGTCTGTCCATCTCTCTCCTTTCACACAGTGGCCATCTTTGTCTGTAGTCTTGTTATCAAATCATGACTAGTCCACTCCTCACATACCATCCATAAAACATCACCAGAACTGCCTTGTTTTGACACTCCTTGTTCACTAGTACATCCAGAATCTTTTCCCTTCTTATCTTCCAGCAATCACAGACTCTAATTGTCACCTAATGGTTTACAGATTTCAAAAATTCTAGATGTATTTCTACTCTTCCCCCTAGACTGCAGCTGTTCCTGTGAAGGCTTAAGGGCGGATTATACTTCTGCAACCGCACACATCAAATGTCGCTTGGGTCTGGTCGTGAAGCAGTTTTGCTGGTTTACATCTGCACCGTCGGTCTGGAATTTCTAGGGACGCAAGGGGGAGCCTATTCGAGAACTCGCAAGGACTTCTGTGGATGGTCACGAGAACTTCGGTGGCGGAGGTGGGAGTGTTTATCTTCTAAAAAACAATGGCGTGTCTGCAAGTTATCACTGTCACAGAGATGGATCTAGAGTTGCTAGACATCGAAGAAGAACAGGTTCAGTTAATAGAGTTGGCAAAAAGACCGATTAACCTTTCGTCGTAGTTGTCCATTGTAGTTGTTCCTCGGTTTTTAAAAGTGGCGGGCCCCGGCACCGGATCGAGAAGGACAACCACACAGAGAGCAGGAAAGGGGTACCAAGGACCAATCACAGCTGCTTTTTGTCTGGGCACTTCCGCTTGAGGTCTGCGCAGGTTAGCGACCGTCCGGCGCGTAGTTAGGATTTTTTTTAGATGCGCAACGACAGTTGCAGGAGCACTGCAGTCAGAGCTTCACTCTGCTCTCCCTTCTATTCATCATACAGAGATTCTTGGACAACCCCTATGTTAGACCAAAACTTGACTACAAGTATCATCAATAGAGGTCCATCTCCTTGCTAATTCATGTCTGTCTTGCAGCAGGTCCAAGGGCTTCTGGTCAAACAGAGCCTTAAAAGTCAAGGTCATCTCCATCCTGGCTACTCAGCTGTATCAGCTGTAGTGTCCTGAGATCCCAGCCTCTTCTTTCAGGCCACCTTATTCCATCCAGCTCCATGTTCCCTATATTTATTAGTGTTTCCTGTAGTGTGGTTTGAATCACTGCTATCCTGTTTCTACGGTGGTCAGAAATGGTGAGTTAAGTGGAGATCTTTTATTTTACCTGATCGATCCCACCATGAGCAAACATGATGGAGGCCAGAGCCAGCAGACTGTGTCCCTCCAACAGCAGACTGCTTAGAGATGCCTGGCTCCCAGGAAGCAGCACCTGAGCACTGGTCAAACTGGCCTGGAACACCAGTTCTGGATCTGGAAACAAAGACAGACAGAAAATTAGAGTGACATTTCTCTTTTTTCCTGTTATTTAAGTCAGGATAAATTGTTCTTGAAAGAAGGATGTTTGGTACTTTATCAACCGCAGCAGTTTAACTCAAGTGGAAATCAGATCATCCAACATTGATTATGTTGGTATTTTGATTCCACACCATGACCAACATTAACCTGTGAAGAGAAGCCATAGCCAGAGCCATTGTGGGTACCTGACAGGTTTCTGGTTATCTCCTGGGTTTTCACCAGCATCTCAAACCAAGGCTGACTCCCAAACAGGCTCTGATCCATCAGCAGCGGACAGTTCCTGGGCGTTAGTCTGTGGAGGTGGTCCCACAGTAGATGTTTCACAGAATAAACACAGAAACAAGGATTTGATCAGCCGTGCCATACCTGTAGTGCTCCAAGTAGGTATAAAGCAGGTACTGGAGATTACGTTCCAGACAGAAAGAGACAAAGGCGCTGTGTAGGTCGAGGCCTACGGGAGAGCAGTACTGAGGTACTGGAGGAGCTGGAGCCATCAGCCCCCCACCCTGAGCCAACCGCCATAACAGCTGCTCCAAGTCTGACATCTCCTCTGGGATGAACACAGCTTTCCTGGGGAAGCAGAGGGCATTATGGGTAAAATGAGACTGAATAAAAGTGAAGCCTGAATATATTGAAGACCAAAACCTTTAAACATCCAAGCTCTAAAAAAAAAAAAAAATATATATATAAAAACTATTAAAAAAACCAAAACACTGAGCCGTTCTGTTGGTCCCAGCTTCCAGAGGCCTGGCAGGGACAAATAAGGAAGGTCCCATTCGTTGCTATGGTTATAGGTTTGGATCTAATCGTTGGGCTGTTTCCACCAGATCAGAGTTCCTGGAGGTCCGGCCTGGATGTCCTGCTCCCTTTATATCCGTCTCTACTTTCACACTTGAATAACCTTCTAAGCATGAAGTCAAGCTCTCCAGAGTCTGGCTATAGACATGATTAATTGACATCTAACAGGTGCAGGACAGCAGACCACCAGGGACCAGAACTGAGGAAACCAAACTACAGTCTACTTCCACAAACTAAGGGCAGACTTAAATGTTATTATGAGTGAATTAAAAACACAGCTGGAGGATGATTTTAAGTATACTTTAATTTATACTGTGAAGTGGTTGGAAGGATAGGGTACATTGGGGTGCTGTGGTTGCTGGGGAGAGGGTAGGCCAGGTGTGGGCATGTGGGTTAGGGGGTGGGGGGTGGCTATGCAGAGTGGTTTTCTCTTGGCCATTGGGTCCTGGACAGAGGTGGGTAAAGTGAGTTAGGAGGATCCAGGGGATGAGGCTGAGGTCGGGCTGGTTGGTGGTCCGTGTCTGAGGTTACCGTAGCGGTGATGGTTTGTAGCTGAAGCCATTTCATCCTGGAGGCGGTTCTGGTTGGCTGGTTCATTCTGATTGTGCTGACCCGTCTCTAAATGCAGGGTTTGGAGATCATGGGTGACCGAGTGAGGGTATTGGCTGTGTCAAGGCGGTGTTCTGCCCTGGTCCCCGGCCTTTGTTGGACCATCTCAGGTCTCCACTCTGCTTTAACTTTAGTATATTTTTATATAATTTTGTATAATTGTTCTAATAATACTGTGTAGCAAAGATTTTATATTTTATATTGATAATAGTGGGACTAGTTCCGTAACCTGACCATCAGTTGGATTCAACAAGATGAGATATTTGTTTTTTTTCCACCTGGATCATTTATCAACATATGCAGAAATGTCTTAAGTAGAGGTAGAAACTAGAGATGACTGGACTTTGTTCCCTTCCTCCTACCCTTAAACCTAAAATTGGACCCAAACAGCCTTAAGCTGGATATGTTGATACTGACCCTGATATGTTCATGAACAGGAGAACCACTAAGAGGAAGAATCAGTGTTTCTTTTCCAAAACCTTCATCTTAAAACACAAGGAGCTGATAGAAAAAAGAATAGCTACTCTACCTAGCTAGAAGGTCCAGGACGTTCTCCTTGAAGAAGATGCTGCACGCCGTACTACTGCTAACCACCTCTGGAGTTATGTCCGGCCAGCAGAGGGAATCGGAGCTCCGTTGGTTGTGAATCCATTCAACCACCTGCTGCTTGTCGTGGAGAGAAGTTAGGTAGCGCCACAACACTGAAGAGTCTCCAAGGCTCAACTCTGACAGAAGAGAAGATCATTGGTGTTCAAATGAACAATGTGGGGCTACAGAACCCTTCTAGTTTGGTTTGGACTTGGTTCCTCACCTGTGTGCTGTAGCCTGGATAAGAGAACAGCAGTCTGGCAGTCATGGTCCCAGTTCTTCACCCAGTGCAGTTGGATGTTCCTCCAGAGTTCTCCCACCTCCTCAGGGCTCCTCTGTTCAACCAGTTCCTCCAGCAACTCTCTGCCTTCTAGCTCATCATGAGCAATCTGAGGAACCCTGGAACATTTAAATCTGATCAGCTGAGGGTCCCAGACATAGAACAACGTCTGTTCAAGAACAAAGAATTAAGAACTTTTTCCGTCAAACAGTAAGATAAACTATTGCAAGGAAATAAAAACATGAGCAAAGGAAAAATTTATTGGTTTATATAGAAATCTGCATCCATGTGAAATCTGAAATTACTAATGAAATAAAATATAAACACCCTTTCATATTTATTATTTTGACATGTTAATTTTTTCTGTTGAACATGCGCATTCATCTAAGACAATACAGTCTGTGTACCTCTGAGAAAGGGGATCAGCGGGACAGGACCTTGCTGGTAGTAAACCCAGCTTCTCCATCTTCCTGATGAATGAAACACTCTGCATCTCATCTTCAGGCAAAAAACCCTGGCTGGACATATCCTCCACCTGATCCATAAAACATAGAGCTATAAAAAGCAGACTGGCATGGCCTGTCGAGTAAAATGCATGATAGAAAAACACGTTCAAACAAAAAGGAATTTCTAAGAAAGCCTCGTAAAACAAGTCAGCTTTTTTATCTTTAATGCAACGCACCATATGGAGCAGGATTTTGGTCCATCAATTAAAGTTTTCTACAGAAAATGCTGAACAGGTTTTCTGTCTCAAATGGGTGACTGGAACAGAGAGGTCTGCTAACATCAGAGCTCTTTAAGGGTCAACCAGCTCTTTGAAATAGACTGGTACTCCTGCATGTAGAGTCTTAAAACTGGTACCGGAACTTGATCAAGTCAACAAGCACACTGTTAGATTTCTCACCTCCGACAAACACAGGCAACAAAAACTGTCTCCTCTGCACTAAAGTGTGTCACAGCAGTTCAGGAACAAGGATATTAAAGTCTTGCATTACAAATCTTTTAAACACAATAATTTTAGTTATGGTTGCACAAGCAATAAAGTCTCAGTCATTCAATCAACAAAACGTAATTAACAGAGTCTGAATTACAAGAAGCAACAAATGTGGCAGAAATTAGTGATCACACACGCCATCTGATAGGTGAATAACTTGGACATTCTTCATTCTGTTTCATTTTATGTCTATAGTTATGCTGCTATAGGCTTTGGCTGCTGGAGGACATAGAGACTACTTTTGATTATACCTCTTCTCTCCTATTTTGCAGTATTTGTTAGTTCAATACCTAACTTTATGTTCTCTATGCTTTTCTTCATCATAGATATCCATCTGTTCTGGATCTGTTGGACTGTGACACTGCCCTGGGCAGCTTTTTTTCTGAATCTGAATAGATTTCTTTTTTAAATTTTTACGTTGTAGTTGGATGAGTTTAACTCACCTACTTAACTGATTTAAACTCTTTTCATCCAAGCTAGAGCCTGTATTTCCTCTCCACTGTCGCTACATTCATGCTCTGTGTGAGGGATTGCTGTTGAGTCGATGAGTCGATGCAATAAGCTGGTTTTCCTTAGAAATCTTTGAACCAATCTGACTATATGATCTGGTTGAATTGTCTCTGTAAAGTGTCTTAAGATGACGTGTTGTGAATTGGCCCTGTATAAATTAACTGAATTGAATTACTGTCCTGTAATATAATGCCTCATATTCTGCTGGTATCCACAGGACAATACTTGACAGGCAGAAAACGGTTTGGCTAAAATTCCAAAAAAGCAAACACATTATCAAACAAAAATACTGTTTTCCACATCATTTCTGGAGAGCAATAAGATCTGGCAAACGTATGACACTCCATTTAGGGCAAATAAGATATGATAACAGGCTGAAGGTTTAAAAGGCCTTTAAATTTACAGTCACAGTTGTCATTCGGATCTTAAACTCTGTTGTTTTTATGTTTTATTTTATGCCGATAACTGCAGTTCCATGTTTGGACGCAGTTTATCAAAAGCTGATTATTTGGTTTTCTTGCTTTGCGCTAACCTTGCCTGCAAGCTAAACTCTAACTGAATTTCGTATTCACAAACACACAACAGTCCATCTTGTCCCGCGCCCGCTTCAACAGTTTGAGACAGCTGGAAACAGATGCTAAAGGATGAGTTATATGGTAACTCTTTATGGTGTTTGCTGTAAATAGACGGACTCACCAATAATTCCCGGAGGTTCCTGTCTTTGGTGTAAAGGCAGATGCTGTGAAGCTCCTTCTTCACACTTAGACCCTGCAGATAACGAAATGTTGCAGCTCAACTTTAACATTGCCACGAAAATGAACAGCGAGTAACGCCAAGGTGACAGTGGCACCAGAGGTAGGGTTGCTCCCTACCTTGATGTTAGGAAACCCCTGCACCGTTTGCTTCAGTCGATGATGAGATCAGTCTAGCTTACAGCCCAGTACTAATGCAAGAAAGACTAAATGTAGGGATTCAGCTAAAGAATATTCAGCTTATCGCCACAGATGTGCATCTTTAATTTCGAATGACATAAAAAATGTCAATCACAAAAATAATGTCAATCATTATACTTAATTGGAACAGTTTCACTATTTAGTGAGAGAGGAAACGTTCCTTGATGATCCAGCTAAACTAGCTGAACCTTCTCATTTTTATCTGGTAGCTCCGTTATCCTCATCGTTATCTTTCTTAGGTGTACTAAGAACTAAATTCTAACTCTTTTCATCATATCCTGTCTTACATAATTCTAAATAATGCTTCTTGCTGTAGATGTCAATTCAATTGTTAATTTGATAGTAACAGTTAAGTAAGTGCTGGTCATCACTTTAGTCTGTTGTTTGCATCAAACTACATGTAGCCATGCTAATTCTAATTCTTTTTTTCGGAGTTTTTACGGCACTAGTGGCTTGTTTTTATGGCCAGTAGGCTGACAGGAAAGGTGGTATGAGAGAGGGGGAGGGGGATGCGGGAAAGGACCGCGGGCCGGATTCGAACCCAGGTCGCCCCCATCGAGGACTAAGGCCTCCATAAATGGGTCGTGTGCGCTACCCATTGTGCCACCACAGCCAACCCAGAGGAGCAGATTTGAAACTTTTCTCCAATTCACGAGAAGCTTTGAGGTGAAAGCTGAGAACCAGAAAGGAGCTGTAGCTTTTTAGACATTCACCCTCTCCACAGAACACTAATGGTATCCATAGGAAATTTGAGCCATTACCACCTGCCTCCCCTTTATGTGTAAAAAACAGATGGGTGGAACACCCATGCTTTTACATACTGATATAGAAGAAGAATTAACTTTATTGTCATTACACTGTCACAAGTAAAGAGCAACAAAATTAAATCAGCATTAAACAGCAGTTTGGGGTTAAGGGTCTTGCTTAAGGACCCAGAGTGGCAGTCTGTGGGAGTGGGGCTTGAACTCAGGACTTCTGGGATCCAAGAACAATGCCCAAACCACTAGGTCTCTAGGTTTATCTGTACAGGACCTTCTTTTGGACGGGACTACAGAGTCAGTTCAGGTGTAGGTTCAGAGGCTGTGCTTCATCTCCCTCAGGATCTGCTGGAAGCGTCTACAGCCATTATCTAGTCTGTCCTGTAATCATCCATGACTCTGTGATCTTGCCCAGAGTGTAGGCTGGGAGAGATCAAAATAAGCAGGTCAGTGGATCCTGAGGACCAGATTTTAGATGCTAATTTAGTCTTTTAGACTAAAAACAATGTTGGTAAAGTAAACTGAAAAATATTGCAAATACTAAGTAAGATCAATAAAAAAAATAAAGTGATTGGCTATTATCATCTTTTTAACAAGGGTGTCAGGTTCCCTTGGCTGCAGCTTCAGTCTCCTGTCCCTCATGCATGCTGTATTGCATCTAAAATGGGTTACTCCGGAACAAATCTCATTGTGGTCTGTACAATGACAAATAAAGGCATTCTGATTCTGATTTAACTCACCAGAAACTCTGCCTCAGGCTAGTTACTTACTCCAACTGGCACATTTTTCCTATCATTACATTTTTCAGGTAAGAAATACAGATTTGACTAAACATAGCTTCTGCTCTGAGAAAGTTACAAGTACCTGATTCAATCCCCACAGCATCCACTCTGGGTTCCTGAGCAAAACCCTTAACCCCACACTGATCCCCGGGCGCCACACAATGGCAGCCCACTGCTCCCCGAGAGGATGGGTTAAATGCAGAGAGTGAATTTCTCCAATCTAAGATTTATTATCAAATATTATTTTCAGAGAGAGAATGAAAGAATGAATGAAAGGAGAGATAGAGAGGGAATAGAGGAGGAGAGAGAGAGAGAGAGAGAGAGGAGGAGAGGGGGACAGAGTGGAACACAGGTGGAATAAAGGTAAAGAGGGACAAAATTACCTATAACCCATATTTAGAGTAATTTATAAAAATGTATCCTCCCATTATAGATCTGTTCAACTCATCATATTCAGTGGAATTACATCTGGTTTCACTTTCTATGTCTCTTAAAGCATAAGATGTTGAATTTGGGGTTGGTATTTCACTTAATAAGTTCTTGTATTTTAAAGGAATATATATATATTTCTTTAAAATACATAAATATATTTCTCTATTACCTTTTTTAATAACCGCTCTTTTTTCCTATTGTCCAAACTGTGCAGAAAGTGACGGAATAAAACTGTTCAGACAGAAATAAATTTGCTAAAATATTAAAGCATACCAATGCATTTAATTTTACAACAGCATCATGTATTCATCATCTTATAAAGACTTTTATAAATACCTATATATGTAAAATATGAAATATTTGTTCAATATGGTTTATTTGAATGTTTCAGTCACTGAAATGGGTCAAGATCCTTTGATTAGGGATACTGTCATCCCTGAGTAAAAAGATAGATGGACCATGATACTCGTTTCCTATTGGAATATGTTCCTACCATGTTAGTCAGGAGTGTTTTAGCAGTCTGCAGGTTCCCGGACTGCAAGCAGGACAATACATGATTCAGCCCCACCATCCTCAGAGCAGACAGATGCTGCTCAGGTCGATTCAGTCTCCACATCACAGCCTGAGCTCTCGGGATCTGGTTTGTAAGAACTGCCTGATAGATCACTTCCTGCAAAGAATAAACAAGTCAAGATTTGGGTTCTATTGCATGGACACATGACAACGGCAAAATTTGAAGTTGTTTTGAAATTAGGGATAAATGGAATACCTCAGTGGTAAGCTTCTCCCATTCATCTCCTTCAACCTCCCTGGGAGGAGCAGCACCACTGTTAGACGTGCTGCTCCCTGAGGACCAGGGAAACCTCTTCAAATAATTCCTCAACTCTGTCACATATGTATCCAGGATTTTCACACTGTTCAGTACATCAGAGTTTTCACCTGCAAATTAAAGCATCATATCAGGTCAAAGTCTCTGAAGGCAAAATAGTAAAAACACATTTCGATAAAATGTTACTGTTTGCAGTTTGTCTTACAGTGTGGTAGCAAGAGCACCGAGCGGATCTGTGTGTTGATGAAGCTCAGAGTGAGGTTGAGCAGCTGCTCAGAGAACTGTCTGCTCTGAGCCTCACTGTTTAAATCTCTGACAGTTGAACACAACAGGTCCAACGCAAGAAACAGCTCCTGGACACCTACATAGGGATGCGTGCGTGGACGGGAGATCAACAGAATTACACACAGTTAGAAACACTAAGAAGTTGCATCATACTAACTGGCTTCAGATATTCAAGTGGAAAAACATTTAAGCATCTTTTTAAAGAGACATTTTAAATCCCATATCA